GCCCCGGTACCTGCGCCCTGCGCGTCTCGCGCCGCCGCCCGCACCTGCTGCGCACCCCGCGGGACGGTGACGTCACGGGAGACACAGACCACGCCCCCTCCGAGCGGGGCGGGCGCGTCACTGCCCGGGCCCCTCCCGGGGGCGTGGCCACACCAGGGGCGTGGCTGGAGGGAACGAGCAGGGCGGCCCCGGGGCCCGTCCCGACTATTGCCCCTGTCCCTGTTCCTGCTACTGCCCCTGTCCCTGTGCCAGCTACTGCTCCTGACCGTGTCCCTATCCCAGCTATTACCCGTCCCTGTGCCAGCTACTGCTCCTGCTTCTGTCCCTGTCCCAGCTATTGCCCCTGTCCCCGTCTCAGCTCCTGCTCCTGTCCCTCTCTGTGCCAGCTGCTGCTCTTTTCTCTGTCCCTATCCCAGATATTGCCCCTGCCCCCGTCCTTGTCCCAGCTACTCCTCTTGTCTCTGTCCCTGTTCCATTCCTGTCCCAGCTATTGCCCCTGTCTTTGTCCCTGTCCTAGCTACTGCTCTTGTCTCTGTCCCTGCCCGTCGTGCCCCAGCTATAGCCCCTGCCCCAGTCATTGTCCCTGCCCCAGTCATTGTCCCTGCCCCAGTCATTGTCCCTGTCCCAGTCATTGTCCCTGTCATTGTCCCTGTCCCCGCTGTTGCCCCGGCCGCTAGCGGGGTCGGAGGAGCCCGCTGCAGCTGGAAGGAGCCGCGAGGCTCCGGCCGTGCCGTGGGGAGGGGAGGGGTCCCGGCAGTGCAGGACTGGCCAGGGGTTGAAGCCAAGGAAGGACGGCGGGCTCAGGCTCAGGCTGCTCGGGACAGGGGCCAGCAGCAGTGGGACCCGGAGAGCCTTCCCCCACCAGGGACCCCCGGGCAGGGCAGGGGCTGGGCTGGGCCCCACAGCCTCCCCACAGCTCCGCTCTCCCTTCCCTTCCCCGCGGGGGCAGGACGGGACACCTGGCTGGTGACGGGACCTTTGCACGGGCGCTGTCGCCTTCTGCTGATAACGGGACTCATGCGTAGGAGAAGGTCCAAGCACAGAGCCTGGGAAAGCGATTACGGGTTTGCCCAGATAAAATAGGTCAAGGACGCAGGTTGGAGTGTTCAGTCACCGTCCCTGCCCCATGACCGTGACTCACGGTGGTGGCCAGCAGCGAGGGGACAGCAGTGGCCACCTGTGGAGTGACGCTGTGCCGGGGGTGTGGGGTGGGCTTGGGGACTGTGGTGGTCCCCAGGGAGTGGAGCAGCATGATCCTGCTGCTCCTGTGCGTGCTGAACCCAGCTGCTTTTTCTCTACCATCCACTCGTAGATCTAATCAGGCCAGCTAAATGCTAGGTCCCTAATGAGGCTCAACCAGGAAGAAATTATTTAAATTAGTTATGTGACATGCTATATTCTTGGGCAAGAGAAAAACAGGATACACAGCTACCCCTGCTCTGTCTGAAGAACTCTGCCAGCATCGAAGTGTGTCCCAAATGAAACCTGCTGGCTGATGGGAGCTGTGGGAGACATTCAAGGAGGTGTGGGAGACATTCAAGGAGGTGTGGGAGACATTCAAGAGCCCTTCCAGGGCACCAAGAAGCGGCTGCAGTTCCCTGGATGCAGGCAGTGAAGCACCATCATTCCCCAGCCTCACCTGCCCCAGCCGTGCTGCCATCCTCACACAGAATCACTGAATCATTTAAGCTGGAAAAGCCCCCTGGGATCATTGAATTCAATCATTCCTCCAGCACTGTCAGGGCCACCACTAAACCACGTCCCCAGGTGCCACATCTACATGTCTGTTAAACTCCTGCAAGGATGGTGACCCTACCACTGCTGTGGGCAGCCTGTTCCAATGCCTGAACACCCTTCTGGTGAAACAAATTTTCCCCAATATCCAGCCTAAACATCCCCTGGTGCAAATTGCAACCATCTCCTCTCAGCCTGTCCCTTGTTGCCTGGGAGAAGAGGCCAACTCCCACCCTTGATCTCCTTTCAGGGAGCTGTAGGGTGGGAGAAGGTTCCTCCCTGAGCTTCCCTTTCTCCAGGCTGAGCCCTCTGAGCTCCCTCAGCTGCTCCTCATTAACCCTGTGCTTCAGACCCTTCCCCTTCTCTGGACATTCTGCAGCACCCTGACATCTGGCAGAGCCTCCCAGGGAGCAGTTTTCTCCACAGAATGGGGAAAATACTGACCAACTGACCGACCAGAAAATTCCTCTGGATCACTGTGTGCCGCACCCGTGGGTCCATGAGGCTCGTGTGAAGGGTGTGAGGAAGGGGAGGGCTGGCATGGAGGGGCCAGAGGAAGGCACTGCACACATGGGCACGAGCTGGGGCTGCTGCTCCACTGCCCTGGAGCTGCAGACAATTCCAGCTCAGTTTCCTCCCCTGTGATTTCCATATGCCTTTGGAAATGAAAGTGCCCAGCCAGGACCTCACAACAGAAGCAATATACATTGTTCTGCTGAGCAACACTGAACTTGTGCTGGTCCTTGACTCCAGTGCCAGTGGGCACACACTGTTGTCCTGTTAAACATTAACTGGGAAGGCAGCTTGTAAAACACTGCTTGGCTTCATTAAAATCTTCAAATGACACTTGATACTTACATATCCTTATGAGCAGTTTGCACATACTTTATTAAGGCAGGCCAGGCTTTATGGCTCTCATGACCCCTCCAGCAGAAGTTATACAGCAATTTCTAGGTGCAGCTGTCTTTCCCCTGGGAACAAGGCTGGTAGGGAATGCCATACTACAGACTGGGATTTAGCTCCTACAAAGAGAAAACAAGCCAGCTCTCCCCTGGGAAAAGGAGAGGCAGGACACTGAGCAAGGACATGTGGAAGGTACATTCACCCAATTTCCACCCATTTCCATTGGGTGTGTTAGCATATGCCCAGAAGCCACCTGAGAGGTGTGGGAGAACCCTGGAGGTGTTACACATGTTGAACTGATGGGTTCACACCAGCTTCCACTCAGGCTTCTCTGCCACGTGTGGTGTGGCTGCAGCTGAGGGCAGGGAACTCCTGAGACCCAGGAATGGAGTTGTTTGAAAATGGTGTCTGAGATGGTGGGGGACAGACCAGGTTTTGCACCCTTTACATTTCTACTAGTGTTTCTTTCCCTTCCTTTCTCCTGTCTCCTGACATGGCCCACCGTTATTAGCAGATGTGGGAAGGGAGGTGTGAATCCTGTTTACTGGGAAGCCTGTGCTGCCTGGAAACTCTGGTTTAGCAACATTTATCTTCCCCCCAGCCCTCCCTGTGCCTGGCAAACTCAGCGGCTCCATAATCAAAGCTTTTGTCTTCATTGTTTACTTTTTTCCTTTCTGATTGCCTGAACAACACCAGCCAGAGGGAAGGAGTTGACCTTGCCAAGGATGAGGGCAGGAACTGGACCTAGACAGCACAACAGGCTGTGGGGAGCAGGTGAACAACAGCAGAGTGCAAGGACACTGTGGTGACTGCTTGCCCCAATTCTTGCTGGTTTCACACCTCTTTCCACATAGCAATTTGGTAAAGCCTGTTGCAAAGGCCTTGTGAAACACCCCACTGTCTTTGCAAGAGGGTTCTGTGAGACTGCAGGTTGCAGGCAGGGCTGGATTTGTTGGTGATTAGTTTTGGTGGCAGTGTCTACAGAGCAGAAGGGATCAGAGAGGAGATGTCCCTGTCCTTGTCTCCGTGACAGTGCCAGCTGAAGAGATCCTGCTCCATCCCCAGACTGCCACCAGCCTGTGTCTTCCTTCCTACTGCCAGTGCCTCCACAAAAACACTGGTTAGGACCTTGTGAGCAGAGATCAGTGTAACACCTCAAAATGAAAATGCTGCCCCAGAGGATAAAATCCCAGGATCTGTGCTGAAATCCCACTCTCTGTCTGGGACAAAGGTCTTTCTTACCCATCACCTTCGCTATTGGGAAATTTTCCTGGCTTGCTTGATCACAATTCATGGTTTGAAGGTTCAGATCCACAGTGATCTGTGGCACAGGTGTGTTGAACAGATTTAATGTCCCTTCACATCTGTCCAAACTCTTCTGGGTGAACCTAAGCCCTGCACTCTGGAAACTGGCTCTGAGAGAGAAGTGCAGCCTGTTCTTCCCTCCTTGCTCAGGATGGGTTCTGCTGTGCCTCCCACTGTCTTACAAAACCCTCCAAGGGTTTTGTAAAAAAACCCTCCAGGGGACCAACTGCTCCTGTCTCAGCTGTCCTGTCTGCAGGTGAAATGGAGTGTTACTGGCAGCACTTCCCTCTCTGCCCTCCCATCCTCACAGGGCTGGGAAGCTCCATGTGCTGGAGCAGTGCAGAAAGCTGGCTCACAGCTGACTGTGCCCCGACCCTGTGCAGGATGGTCCTGAAGCTGATCTGCTCTTCTGCTCAAAGGTCTCAGGGCTTTGGTGCTGGGTCATTCTGAAGGCTTGGGTTTCTGCTCTTTTATGAAAATATCAGTGTCCTTTGATCTTTGCCTGCTTCATTCTTATCTCTCGCTCCCACTCAGTAAAGTAAGATTTATGCTGGTAGATAAGATAGGAAGGCTGTTGCATTTGGATATAGCAAAACAAAACATCTTCAAGAGCCAGGCTGACCATGAATGGAAAGAGAACAGATCACCTGGCAAGGTCCAAGGCTCAAGGACCCCCTTAGAAAGGTGTCAGTGCAGGGGAAGCCGGAGCCATTGCTCTCCTCCTGCTGCACCAGGCTAAGGGAGGCTTGGGATGTATCTCAAATCCAGAGATGCTCCCTGCCCTGCAGTGTGGCTGGTAGAGTTGGGGTGTGCTCCACTGAGTTTATAGCTGTTAGTGCTGTTAGCTGGCACTGAGCAGGCTCCTGTGCTGTCCATGGGGGTCACTCCCCTGACTGTATTAGAGTCCAGTGCTCGTTAGTGGATGCTTTTTGCTTTCACTGCTGCTCTAGTGCTTATCACCTCTCTGGATCATGCCTGGGAACACTTTGATAACAGCCTTTGCTGGGCTGGGCTGGCAGGTGGCCAGGGCAGTGCTGCTGTGTCTGTGCTGGACAGGCTGGAACTCCAGTCTGAACCTGAGCTGAAGGGACTGAGACGTGTGGAGGAGTCCACGACGGAGCACAGACCCACCTGCAGGCAGTGGAGGAGCCCACACCACAGCAGGGGGATGCCTGAAGGAGAATGACCCCCATGGGGCCTGTGCTGGAGCAGGTTTGCTGCAGGACCTGTGACCCCTGGGAGAGCTAAGCTGGAGCAGTTGGTGAGGAACTGGAGCCCGTGGGAAGGACCCGTGCTGGAGAAATCCAGGGAGGGCTGTCTCCTGTGGGTCACACCCCAGGCTGGAGCAGCAAAGATCCCCTGCAGGCTGTGGGGCAGCCCAGGGTGGGGCAGCTGTGTCCTGCTGCCTGTGGGGGACTGGGATGTGACCACACAAATGGGAACTCTGGCAGGAGCCCCTTGGTGAAGCCAGGCTGGGCACAAAGGCAGGGGTTTGGTGCAATGTTAAATCAGGTAACCTCGCCCAAAAGGACCAGGGATGGAGATTGCAATGGATCTGTAAATTGTTTTAAGCCATGATTTGTTTCAGGAATTACTATAACAGGCACCATTCAACCCAAAGCAGGAGAAGCCTCCCAAGAAGCAGTTGCAAGGCAGCAGTGAGCTGACCTGAGCTGCTTTTGGTTCCCAGTAACTCCCCCCACCCAGCACCTCTGCTGTCTTGAGTGACCACCAGAACAGATGGAGCCCAAAGTCATGGATCAAGTGAATGCAACAGGGATTTTGTTGATACTTTATTTTCCCAGAGTGGTCCATAGACTAAGGGAATATATATTCCTTGATATATCTGTGTTATATCAAAGAATGGGAAGGAAGTTGTACTCAACAGTGTGGGACCTGGAATGGTGCAAATGGTTATGGAATATGAGGTGGGATGTGCTGGGTTTGGATGGAGCAGAGTTATTTTCTTCTCAGTGGCCTGCTGTATTTTGTATTTGTGCTGAACACAGGGTTGATAACATAGAGATGTTTTTGTTATTGCTGAGCAGAGCTTGCACAGAGGCCTTTTCTGCTTCTCATATTGCCTTGCTGCCAAGGAAGTTGGGTGAGTGGTGGAGGGGGGGAGGAGACACAGGCAGGACAGGTGATCCCAACTGACCAGAGGGATATTCCATAGCATCAGTGCTTGGGGTGGCCTGGGATGGCCGGGGTGGCCACGGCAGAGTGGGTGTGTGTGGAGGATGGAGCGTGTCCGTGTGGATGCAGTGCTCAACAGGTCAGGGGAGGGGAGGTGGTGCAGGATGAGGCTTCAGCAGGGTTTTTACCATCCCATGATGGCTGGGAAGGGGGACAGATGAGGCACAGAGGGAATTATATCTTAGTGTTTGCAGTTTTCAGCTGCATCTTCTGCTGATGGCAAGTCACCACCCTTAGGGGAGGTTACAGGAAAGATGGGGCAAGACTATTTACAAAAGCATGGTAACAAGACAAGGGGAAGTGGGTTCAGATTCAAAGAGATTAGGTTTAGAATAGATATTAGGAAAATATTCTTCCCTGTGAGGGTGGGCAGGCCCTGGCACAGGGTGCCCAGAGAATCTGTGGCTGCCCCTGGAACCCTGGAAGTGTCCAAGGCCAGGCTGGATGGGGCTTGGAGCAGCCTGGGCTGGTGGAAGGTGTCCCTGCCCATGGCAGGGGGTGGAACTGGATGATCTTCAAGGTCCTCTTCCAACCCAAACCATTCTGTGATTCTGTGACCCTTTAGAGCAGACAGCTGCAGCTGTCCTGTGGTACCCAGGAGCCCTTGGCTCCTGCCAAGCAGATTGAAGAGCGATGGAGAGAAGGCAAAAACATTAATGCTTTCATAACAGTGCCTTGTGCTTCCTACAAAGCATTTTATCCCGAGAATGCCAAGTGTTTCACAAGATCTTAAATAATTAAGCCTTAGAGCAGTGCTATGCAAGACAAAAATATCTCCCTCCCTCCTCAGATTCATGTCTGGGATGGCCCACACTGGGAGCCAACGGGCAGGAAAGGAAAGGAACAATTATCCCAAGCCCCACTGCTCGATGTGCTCAGAGGAAATCCTGAGCTGGGGCTTCCCTGGGACACCCCCAGTTCTGGGGATATGAGGCTGTTCAACTGCAGTTCTCTCTGACCTTAATTTTGTTCAGGGTTTGGCTGGAATGATCCTGGGTTTTGGCCCTGGTCCTGGGAGAGCCGGGCATGGTCCATACCTGAAGAACAGTCCTCCTCTGTCCAAGGGCTCTAAACTGCATGAGTGAGTTGCCCCGAGCCCTGATGATGCTCCCTGTGTCATTAACCAAGGGATTTGGACTCAAGCAATCCCAAACTCCACGGGACACCCACGTGATCTGCCTGCAGCCCTTCTGCTGCCACTGCCCCACAGCCAGCCCTGACCCACAAGACCTGCCAAAATCTGACCCTTGTGCAATTGTACCCCAGCCACTGTCAGGGCCCTTCTCTTGCACCTGTAAATCCCTTTCCTGTGCTGTATATCCCATGGGACAGTATGTAGGCATTGCTGCTCGTAATCCAGGGCTGTGCCAGTCCCTCCCCAGCCAGCCCCCTACTGCTGCACACTGACCTTACTTCCAGATGTCTCAACAGCAATTTAGCAGCTCGAGGGCACAGGAAAAGCCTGCCTCTGTCTTTGTAGGTGTTTAGGTTTGTTTCCAGCACTGGCTTTCCATCCCCCAGCAGCAGGAGCCGGGTAATTTCAGCCTTGTCTCTGCTGCAGGGATTTGGCACAGCAGCTTCTGCGCTTGAATTCCCCTTTTCTGGTGGGAACAGCATCGCTGCTGTGTTGCCACACAGCTCTGGAAAAACCTCCTGCAGCTTGAGACAGGCACAGAACACTGATGGAGGGAGGGAGGTGAAGGCTGAAATCACTCTAGGATCTATTCTAAGTAACAGCTGAGCTTTGCATCTGCTGCTCCAGTCCTGTGGCTCCACAGCTGGGTGGGCTCTGGAGTTTAAACCTCCCAAGAAGGAATTTGGATGTGCAATGCTGACAGCATCCCACAGCCACAGGACCCCTGTGCCCCTGCTGGGACAGGTAAGGGGCTGGCCCAGCTCTGCAGCAATGCACTGGCACCCTCTAATGACACAGTTATGAATACTCAGGGGCACCTGGGTCTCTCCTGCAGCCCATCCCACCGTGCTGGAGCTGTCTGGTGCTCTGCTCACAGCTCTTCTGGAGCCTTTGGTGGGGCAGGGCTCCCTCTTCACCTGCTCTGCTCCCCTCTGGTGCTGCAGTTTCCCAGGCTGCAAACACTGGGGAGATGGCAGGAGGGTTTGTGGCAGGGCATTGCTGTGCCAGGTGAGCTGCCAGTGAGTGCTCTGCTCCCAGCCCTCAGCCCCAGGAGCAAAGCCAGCTGTGGCTGCCCCTACACCACTGCAGCAGGAGGGCTGGTGAGCCCCTGGCCAGGTCCTGTAAGCCCAGTTTCAGCCACACTGGCCAGGCTGGCTCAGGAAGCTCCTTTACTCCCATTTGTGCTGCCTCACAGACACTGGCACAGTTTGCCAGCTTGGTTACACAGGCTCCAAGCTCTCCTTTCCAGCCCACTCTGTGGCAAAGCCAGAGAATGTGTCACTGAAATGGGATCCCAGAATCATGGAATGGTTTGGACTGAAAGCAGCATTAAAGCTCATCTCATTCCACTCCCCTGCCATGGCAGGAACACCTTCCACTAGCCCAAGTTGCTCCAAGCCCTGTCCAATGTGACCTTGAACACTTCCAGGGATGGGGAAACCACAGCTTCTCTGGGCATCACCACCCTCACAGGGGAGAATTTTTTCCCAATATCTAAACTAAATCTCTCCTCTCTTAGTTTAAAACCATTCCCCCATGGCCTATCACTCTGTGCCTGTGTAAAAAGTCACTCTCCTTCTTTTTCATGAGTCCCTTTAAGTACTGGAAGGTGACAACGAGGCTCCAGCTCATCCCAAATGATGCTGAACCTGATGAGAACCTGAGCTGCACAATTGTCTTCTTGGTGACATCGTGCCATGGCCAGCAGTCTGGGTGTCCAGCACAGCAGGGCACGGAAGCTCAGGGGAGGGGAGGCTCCTCTCTGGCTCCCAGCCCCACCTAGACCCTGCTGCCTGCCTCTGGAGCCCAGTGGAATTCAATTTGCTCAGCCAGGATGTTTTAGCCGTGCTCAGCCATCTCACAGGGCCTGCCACGGTGGCATCCAGCTCTCTCAGCACGGAGTGGGCACAGTCAGCTCTTCCCTGGGTGCAGTGCTGGTTGACAAAAGGCTCTGCTGCCCTGGCATTGAGGTCAGCCATCAGGAGCAGCAGGGCAGTCCCAGTCCTGCCCAACTCATGGCCAAAGTCAGAATCTTTCCACCTGAACTGGGAGAAAGGGAAAACGGATGGGGAATGGCCCTAGCAAAACCAGGGTTGTGGATCCTTGTACAAACAGGCCAATGTGATTTTGAGCAGTGAATCAGCAGCCTGAGCAGGGCCAAGAGCTCCCAGGGAAGCCTTTGTCTCCCGTGATGGACATGGGGGCTGAGCTCAGGTCCATGTGCCAGGCCATCCCTCCTCTCCTGCAGGAGCTGCCCAGTGCTGCCACCCTCCCAGGATGATGTGCCCAGAAACCTCTCCCCTCCAGAGTGGGTGGTCGTGGGGAGGCTGGGCAGGGCTTTGGGGGCTCTGCAGAAACAGGAGCAGAGGGGTAGGATGGGATGGGAATGGGGATGAGACAGGAACAGAATGGGTATGGGATGGGGTTAGGGATAGGGAGGAGGATGTGGAAAGAGTGGAGTGGGATGGGAATGGGGTGGGGAGAAAAAGGATGGGGAGTGAGGTGGGGTTAGATGGGGTAGGGAAAGGGATGAGATCAAGATGGGGAGTAGGATCAGGAAGGGGAGGAAAAGGGGAAGGAGGTGGGATAGAAATGAGGAGAGGAAGGAATAGGGTTGAGATAGAGCCTAGAGACAGGGCTGAGGAATGGAGCTGTGATAGAGCTGGGGGGAAGAAGGGGGTGGGAAAGGGGAAAGAAGAGAATCAGCTCTTGTTCAGACAGCACACGTTCAGGCAGCAGCTCATGCTAGCTCAGCCACATCGGCCACAGCAGCTCTGGAGAACATTCAATGCCTTTCTCTTCTGCTGCTGTCCCAAGGGGCTGTGCTGCTCTGCCAGCCAACTGTACCAGCAGGTTTTTATTTTACATGTATTTTCCTAATGGCTTGGGTGGCCTGAAAACTTGAGCAGTGAATTGTGACTGCTGTAAGATTGGGTAAAAATCCACACAATGGCTGTGCACTGCAGTGTGGCACCAGGGATGAGTCACTGAAATTGCAATTAGGAAAGAAAATAACAGTGGGTTTACAAGCTCCTTTCCAGGAGCATTGCGTTTCTCTGGAATGACAATGGTTCCTTAGAGTGGTTTTATTGCTCCACATCAAAAAAAACATGGGACTGGAGGAAGTGGTAGCTGATGTAAAACAGTTTAACAGTGAAGGGAGGGAGGAAAAACAGCAGTAATTTTCACAGTGATAGCATAGGTGCTTTGGGAGGGGCTGTGGGGTGAGCTGAGGAAACCACAGCAAACCCCAGGGATGTGGGACAGTGCAGCTGTGCCCTGACATGGAGCCCAAGGTGATGCAGGTGGTCTGGACAGAAAGGGCACACAAGGAAGGAGGCCCTGGGACTGACAGGGGTCCCACAAGTGTCCCCTCCTCAGCTTGCAGAACCTTGCTGGAGAGAACTGCCCAGCAGAGTGCAGCAAACAAGGAAAATGCATCACCTTTGGGTTGCTGGAGTCCTGGAAAGCAAAAGTCAATCTTTTGTTTGTCTCCCAATAGCTTTATTTTGTCTTTTGTCTGACAGGTACAGAGTGCAGTGAGCAGGAGTGAAAAGCACTGAGCAAAGAATGGGCACAGAGACAATCTCTGTGTCACCAGGTGTCAGTGAGTCCTGGGCAGAGGCTGACCACAGCCCTCCAGTCCACATGGTGCCAGCAACACTTCTGACTTCTGTTCCCTCTTTTCCAGCTCCAGGAGGAAAGGCCAGCAGCTCCCAGGGGCTCAGGCTGGCTCGGGCACAGGCACTCCATGTGCATCCATCGGGCTTGGCTTCACTCTGAGGTCAGCAACTGCAACAAGAAACTCTGCAAAACCAGAGCCTTGGGGATCCTGACCATCACCTCCAGCCCAGTGCAGAGACACAGCTGTGCCACCCACCCCAGGACAGGAGAACTGCTCCTCACCCTCTCCAGGCCAGCAGCAGGTGTCAACCTGTGGGCTCTGAACAACCCTCATCTGCTTGGATTGCCATGTTTTTAATTATTTTAATTAAACACAGAGATGTTCCAAGGTGGAGATCAGGCAGATATGGCTGCTGCTGGTGCTGCTGCTGGGAAGCAGAGCCCTGCCTGCTCACTGCCACCTCTCTCCTGCACTGTCACCCTCCCCAAAGCCACAGGACACAACACCAAGAGGGAGCCAACAGCCCACGTGCCATTTTCCTGTGCCCTGATGCTCCTGAGCAGCCTCACAGTCAGTCCAAGGTGTTATTAGTCCTGTCTGTCCCAGGAGTGCCAGACCTGATCTCTTGCTGCAGCCTGGCTTCTTGGGGAGCAAGGCAAAGGTGCTTGGTCTCTTCAGCTCTGTTGACACAAGGGAAGACTCAGTCCTGGTCAGCACAGGGTGAGGTTCTGGGAACAGCTGCAGTTTGGCTTTGGGAGGTGAAAACACAGAGGGTCTACAGCTGGTTAGACAGGTTTGGGCTAAACCCACCCTGTCTGGCTGCTGAGTGTCAGCTGCCCCATCCTGGAGGCCATGAGAGAGACAGGGACTGTAGACTTCAGAATCCTGAAGGGAAGGAGGGTGAAAAGCAAGAGCACAGCCCTGAACTTTGTGAGAGCAGACTTCAGCCTCTTCATAGGTCTGTTTGCAAGAGTCCTGTTGGATCAGGTAGAGAAGTACCCAAAGCCTGCAGGAAAGCAAATGTCACTCCTGTCCTTAAGAAGAGCAAGAGGGAGGATCCAGGGAGCTACAGGCTGGTCTGCTTCATCTCCATTCCTGGAATGGGAACAGCTAATCCTGGATATCATTTCCAGGCACATGAAGAACAAGAAAATCATCACCGTTCGATTCCCCACGTGGAAAGTCACACCTGGAGTACTGTGTCCAGTGCTGGTCTTCCCAGGAGAAACTGGAGCCAGTCCAGTGGAGAGAGCCATGGAGTGGGTGCAGGGACTGCATCGTGTCTCATCAGAGAGCTGGGACTGTCCAAGCTGGAGAAGGGAAGGCTCATCAGTGGTGCCCAGTGACAGGACAAAGGACAATGGGCACAAATGGAAACACTGGAGGGTCTCGCTAAGTACCCAGGAGTTATGGAGTCTCTGTCCTTGGACACCTGGACACCTGGACAAAGTCATGGTCAAGGGGCTCTCATGGTTGAGCAGGGTCACACCAGGTGGCCTGCAAAGGTCCATCCCTGCCAACCCACGCAGTCTGTAGGTGTGTGATTCTGTGATGTGGCACGGAAACGCCGGAGCTTTGGGGCAGGCGGGACAGGGTGGGCTGGAGCAGGTGCTGCCAGGTGTCCATGTAAAGGACAGACAACCTACAGAGGTTCCCAACTGTCCCTGGAGGTGGCACAGTCACAGAGCTGCTCCATTTGCTGGTTTTGGTGTAGAGCCAGGACACACAGGCACATTTCTTCTGTCACCAAGGGGTGTCCTGCCTCCATCACCTGCCTGACACCTGGACAGGGAGCACCAGGGCTGAGCCCAGCCAGCAAAGAGCAACGTAAGAACAGCACAGTTTGCAGAATAAGCCGATTTATTGTATAGGCCAGAAGAAATGCTAAGTACTTAAATAACTGCTTTAGCCTATCTTTAAACAGCTACACAGCTCCTTTGAATTTTTAGAAGTGCTGTGAGCTGAGCTGCTCCTGTGGGACACAGGGAGTTTGTTGAGATGGCTGAAAGACAAATTAGAGGTCAGCTTCGGGCAGCTTTATTTTGCAGTCCTGGGCTGGTACTTCACACATTTCCTGTGAGTATCTCATCTGAGTGCCAGCAGCATTGCACAGAGAAATGAAGCATTGTCAGCCTTGCCCCCCATTTATGAGGCTTTCAGGCAGCCAATTCCTTCCTGCAGAATGAAAGCTCCTGGCAGAGCAAAGGGGGACAGGAAAGGTCAAACCAACCCACAGTAATGTGTGACCCGCAGGTGACAGCTCTGCACCTTCCTGAGCTGAGGTTTGGGTGGCCACTGCCACCTAGGGGGCTGATCTGGGGAGCTGAGAGCATTTCCCGCAGGGAGTGCTGTGGGACAGGGGCTGGGATTGTGCCAGTGAGGCTGAGTGGAGGGGAGGGTGGGTCACAGTGCCAGGCTGCAGCCCCTCTGTGCCCCTCTGCCCTGGGGCAGGAGGGAGTTCCCGGGATGCTCCATCCCACCAGCACACCTCCAACATCTGCCCAGCGTCTGCACCATCCCACCCCAGGGGCATATTCCCCCTTAGCCTCACTTCTGCTTTGCTCTTCCTCTTTCTGCCCTTCTTGTGGAGCAGAGGAGCAGGAAGAGTCACTTTAGATGTGTCAGGGAAGCTGAGTGGCACAACCTCATCATTAAAACGCCTGTTTCATGCTTAAGGAAATGTCCAGCCTGGATTTTGATCCAGCTGTGGACATGGAAAATATTTTCTGTCATAGTCCCCTTCTGCCCCCAGCAGCTGAAGCTACAGCACAGGTATATGTGCTGTAGATGCTTTTTTCTACGGAAAATATAACGGCACAGTGAGGTATTCTGTAGCAATTAAATAGAGCAGCGATTTGCAGAAGGAGTTTCAGGGAAAGCAGTGTTACAAAACCGCATTTCTGCGGCGCCTCTGGGGGCTCGTACCTCGGCTGAGCTGTCCCTGCAGCCTTTCCGTGCTGGGGGAGCAGCTTTAGGGCTCCTGCTCCTGCCTGGCCACCCCTTTTCGTGTAGCACAGGGGAACTGAACCACTCTGAGATCTCACACGGACATTTTTTTTTACCCAGATTGGCTGAACTAGGAACGCTGGTGGGGAAGGACAGAGACCGTGGCCGAGCATCCTCGGGCGAGGCGGCTGCGCTGCTGGATGGGGCCGGGCAGGACGGATGAGCTGACACGTGGGCAGCAAAGTAGGCCAAGAGCTGAGCTCCAGGGCTGGCCTGGCCCGCAGCACGGATGGAATCAGGGACACGCTCAGGCTTCTGCTGCAGAACGTGGCAGGGGAGCGGGCTGGGAGATCCCTGTGAGCCAGCGGGGCTGGATGAGCAGGGACTGCCCTGGCCCAGGGAAGATCCCAGGGGGATGTCGGGCAGAAGGGAGAGGAGGAAATCCCAACAACGACACAGGCAATTGCCACCAGAGGGCACTTAAATATTGCTCTTGCTGAACAAACGGTGTTTCCTAGCTAGACGCCAGCTCCGGATTGCCTGACAATGCACATCTAAGCCTGAGTCATTGCTGGCACTGAAAGCAAAGGAAAGCACTCAAAAGCTATTTGAGAAGTCATGCATGAATGAGGGTTTACTAGCAGGGCACAGAGGGTTGAACTTTTCTTTCAGTCCCTTTCAGAGGGGGCTGCCAAGGGGTCTCCACCCTGCTGAATCCGGCGAGGTGAGCAGTGCATCACCGGACCCTGACCCTGTGGTACCCCAGGGGCTGGCACGGGGCACTGGGCACTGTTCACACTCCCTGCTTGCTCCTCAGTGCCAGTGTCGAGACAAGAGTTCCAGCCCTGGCAGGGTCCTGGCTCAGCAACTGCTGTGCTGCTCACCTGGCTCATCTGTGCCCTGCTTTGTATTCCAGAGCTGGGCAGAGATAGAAACACTCTGTGTCTTCTGGGGGAATTTGCAAGGAATGGCTAAGGAAGGAACTGCGTAGGATTTGGGTGAGTGCCAAATAAAGCCTGCAGGAGTGAAGACAGCCATGGACTGCAGGTGTGAGGACAGGCAATGAAGATGGAGAACAGCTTCCATCCTGGTGCTGGGAGCAAGCCACAGCACCCTGTGCATGACCCAGGATGTCTCAGAGAGGCGCCCTGGGGCTCAGGGTAGGACGTGGCAGGTCTCGGTGCCATGCTTGGAGATCTGCTCTGAGCTTCATGAGGATCCCAGGGCCAAAGCAAGGAGAGCTGGAAGTGCTGCAGGGGGAGGTGATGGAGAGCTGGAGGAGCATGGCCTCTAGGGAGGAAAAGCTGACTGCAGACAACAGAAAGCTTGTGCTGTGTTGGTGATGTTAGTGACTCTTGCAAACATATAGAGAAAATGGGTTTAACCCTGCAGGGAGAAAAGGGGCCCCGAGGCCTCACAGGAGGATCCCTGGGCCCTGAGCATCTCACCTGGCTGAGCCCAGGGTGGTGGGAGGACAGGGACAAGGCTTGCTTTATGATGCGGCATCTCATCTCCCAGGATCATCTTCCCGCTAATTCTCCTGCCTTTGGGGTGGCCAGAGGCCCATCCTGGGGGGCCATTGCAGCAGGGTTTCCCAAGATGAGTAACGTGAACACTCTGACCTTGGGAATTGCTTCCAGGGGACACAGGAGAGCAGTTTGAGGAGCCCTGTGTGCTGCAGCATGTGGCAGCTTCTGGCTGGGTGGGATCTGGGAAGAGAAGTGATGGTGTGGGGAGGCGATGGGGTCCCCATCTGTGGGATTCTCCCATCACAACCTGCCTGGCACATGCCCTCCTCACTCCAGCCAGGGCTCCTCTCTGTGCCAGGACTGGATTCCCTCATGCTCTTAGGTTTGGCTGATTATTTGCAATTAGCACTAATTAGTGTCTGTTTTGACAGTGCCCTGTCTCTGCTATCCCCTGCCTTGTGCTTACCCCATCATGCTTCATGCAGGGCCCATTTGCTCCTGAGGCACCTCCACTGGGCTGGGCAGCGAGGTCAGAGGGTGAATTTGGGGCTCCAACCTGTTGTCCTGGAGGACCTGCCCATAGGGGCTTCAATTTAAGGGCTGTCTGGTGCTATCCTGGGGGCTCCCTGCTTTGCTCCAGGTGTGCTGTCCAGGCAGTTGTGCTTGTTCCCCAAATACAGGTATTGAGAGGGATATTATGGGGTCTCACTGCTGGCAGAACGGGACTGTGGGGGCACTGCTGGGCAGCCCTGGCCTTTCCCAGCCCCCCAGAGCCATCCCAAGCCCTGCCAGGGGGCAGAAGCCATGAAGCTGGTGGGCACAGAGTGGCTGGCACAGAGTGGCTGGCACTGCCTGCCCCTGCTCCTGGCTCTGCAGGTCCTCAGGGTGTTAAATCCTGCTGGGAATTGGTACAAGAGAGGTCTCAGCAGACAGAACCATTTAAAGCTGTTCTCCCCTCTGGAAGGGTGAGCTGGGGTGGCAGTGAGAGGGACAGGGTGCTCCTGGGAGAGATGCCCTGCTTCCCTGGAAGCAAGCCCAGGAGAGACAGAGAGGAACCCTCAGCCAGGAGGGACATAAAAAACCACAGTGAAAATAATACAGCAAAGAATCATAGAACCACAGAACATGCTGAGCTGGAAGGGACCCACAAGGATTATCAAATCCAACTCCTGGCCTTGCACAGGACACACCAACAATCCCACCCTGTGCCTGGGAGAGTTGTCCCAGAGCTCCTTGAGCTCTGTCAGGCTTGGGGTTGTAACCACTGCCCTGAGGACCCTGTTCACAGCCTCTTAGAGAAGAACCTGGATTTTGTGAATGCTAATGCAACCCTTAGAGAATTGTCCACCAAACCCACAGTATTTTATAGCTGATGGATCTAATAGGCTGCACAGGAAAGTATTATCACCTCCACCTCCCGAGGCTTGGAGCCTGATTGCATCAAACATAAATCTTGTAAATGGATTTGTACTTTTCTCTGGGATTTATTTTAAGAAATGAGCATTTTATTTAATCTCACAACCAGTCAATGTGTCAGGGAGAGGTGGAAGCTCCAGGCAAAATTAAAGTGTGTCTCATTTAGGCTGGAGTCATTTTGATGGGCTGAAGCTTTCACAGCACGTGTGGTCTTCATGCACCGATGAGAAACCTCTGTGACAGCCAAAATTGTTGGGAAACCAAAGGAAGGCCCAGTTCCTGTCAGGAGGTGCTGGAAAGCAGGTGCAGGGAAGGCGTGGTGATGGTTTTATTTGGATGTTGTTGGGTTTGGACACAACTTCGGTGGATCTTTGCGCCCGTGGTTTCGTGTGTCTGGTTGGAAGAAGAGCTCAGGACTGCCCAGGAACTGCTGAAATTCCCAAATCCTTTGTGCTTGGCTGGATTAGAGACCTGAAAAGCTCTGATATGTATTTTTTCAATACTCACAAGAGTGTGGTTTGGTGCTTAGTAAATAACTGTTTGACAGCAGAACTCACAGCAGTTGGCTTCACTCATCCTTTAGAGATGCTGAAATTGGAGAAAAAGATTTAAAAGGCAGGAAAAAGAAAAGGATTAAAGAAAAGCTGAAAGGAGGCAGAATCAGAAAAGACACAGGCACCTTAGGAGAGTCAAATCCAGCTGCCAAAGGTCAGGAGGTGAGGGCAGGGAACCCTGCATGGGGCACCCTGTGCTGAGGTTGGAGTGCTGGGTTTGCACATGGCTTGCTCAGGATTACCTTCTAAAGCAAGTGGAAAACCAGCTTTTTAACTAATTTCAAAGCTGTTTAATCCAAATGTTCCTGTGGGGACATTAGGTGAGAACCACCACATTGTTTGGAGCAGGAAATCAGCTTTTGAAGAATAAACAGAGAAGCATTTTATAGCCAAGCTTCTTTATCAGCTGCTGGGACATGGCTCCACCCTGGGAAAATGAGCTTCCTGCAGCCTGGTGGAGGGACAATCCCTGAGCCCCAGGATCGCCCTGGAGACCTCCTGGGTGAAGGAAAGATGCTGAGGAGTAGAGACAGGGCAGAGGCAGATCCTGCTCCTCAGGCTGACATCGGTGTGTGTCCCCTCCTGGCACTGGCTGCTGTCAGAGGGGCTGTAATTAATTGCTATTAATATTCTACTTGAGCTCAAAGCCCACGTGCTGGGCATGCACAGGAAGCAATTATTATTATTATTATATGAGTTATTCCTTTTAAAATAGCAGTGTCATTAAAAAAAATTGCAGCTAACTGTGCTGTTCCCCAAGGAGCAGGTCTGCTGAGGGCTCACACGTGTGAAGGGGTCTCTGCCGTGACGCTGCTCCACAGATGGTTTGTATTTTTCTGAATCACCGATTCCCATTTTGTATCAAGGATCTCTCTGGGCAGAAGAACCTCAGGGGGCACAACTGGAAGGTGAAAAAGGCAAAAAGCCAATTCTGTTCTGACTGAAGTGGGGCCCCAACCCAGCTCTACGCTAGAGGAGCCCAGCATTCTGCTGCCTTCCTCATCCTCCTCTTCCTCAGGCACAACTTTCTGTAGAGGCTGAGGTGCATCCAGCTTCACCTGGCAGTGGTGATCTGGGTCCCCTCACTCAGATCCAGCAGTCCCAGTTCCCAGGCAGTGTCTGTGTGTGTCTGCCCATCGCCAGGGCTCAGCTGCACCTTTTCCAAACACCTGCAAGGGAGTTGGGGACCCACCCCCTCTGCTCATTTGGCAAGGACCTGACCTGCTCTTGTTCCTGGCAGGACTGGGCTGAGGCTTAGAGGTGAGCTGGGGCACTGGCCCAGGAGTCCATGAGAAGCCTCACTGAGCACATTTGTGGTATGAAGTGAAAAAGAGCACTGGAAGTTTATCCTTCATCTGGCTTCCTGACCCATCCCTGGGAGACTGGGACTTCCCTTTCAGTAGGGGCTGAACAACTGGGAAACACAGAGTTCACCAGTTCCCTAAGGTTCACCTCCTCCTCCCCAGAGGGGTTGGGTAGCAGCTGAGATCTCCTAAGAACCTCATCAGGCATCCCACTGCCCATCATGGCCAAAACCAGGGCAGCAGACCATGTTGTAGGGAGGAGAGTCTGCATGAAGGCCAGCACAGCTCAGGACACCCTGCCCAGCATGCTCCCAGTTCAGTGGCACTGACACAGTGGCATGAGAGACCATGGGAGTTGAGAAGGTCTCTTTCCTGCCTGTTCCTCTAGAGTGACATCTCCTGCCAGGGCCAAGGGTGGTGTTAGCTTTGTGCCAACACACGGGCAGGAAGGTCTGGTGGCTGTAAGGGGGCAGTGGTGGTGCCACCAGCCATGTTCCACATCTGCTGGACATGTGCCCACAGCTGTTTTGGGGGATGGACTGGGTAATCCCTCTTCCTGAAAAGCCATGGAAGGGCTGCTCCTGCAGCCAGGGGCTGTACAGGCCATGCCAGGGATCCTTGTGTTCCAGCACTTGGATGGGGTCACCACAGCCCATGGAGGCACACAGGCTGTGACACCAGCAGGGCTCCAGGGTACATGTCCTGGTTCCAAACAGGATCCTTCACTCACTGAGATGCTTCTCAGGGTTTCTCCCTCCTTGGTCACCTTTCCCAGGTGTTTTGCTCTTACCCAAATGTTGCTGCTTCAGGAGCTTCTTTCTGGTTGTGAATATTTAGCCCTTAGTAGAGCCATGGATTTTTAAAATCCAAAGGTCATTTCTAGGTCATTGAATAATTACTATTGCTGTTCCCACTGTCACTAATTCCATCACAGAGAAGCAGCAGCTTGCTGAGAAATCCTTGAGCTGCAGGCTGAAAACGGAGGGAAATTCACCACAGAAAGTGCAAGATTTGGAGCACTTAGTGCCACGGGCTGTTGGAAGGAGAGGCAGGGCCAGGGGACATCAAAGCTGGGCACAGGGATTCCCTTCATCCCTGTGCTCCCCACGTGGGACTCGGCTCATCCTGCACACAGTGTTACTTTCAGAGTGCTCAGCACAATGAGGAGGTGCCTGCAGCCCCTTTGTGCAGGTCTGGGCTGTGGGGTTTTGGGTCCTTTCTTGCAGCCTCTGGTCAATGTGCTGGTCACAAAGTCTGCAGGGACTCAGTGTTTGCTGTGAGCCAGGGCAAACCCTCACAGGTCAGGGGGAGCTACCAGCTGGAGGGAAAGCTGTTGCTGTTCATGGGATCAAGGAACAGTTTGGGTTTGGGTTCATCTTGCTCATGGCAGGGACATCTTTCTCTAGACCAGGCTGCTCCAAGCCCCATCCAACCTGGCCTGGAACACTCCCAGGTACTGGGCAGCCACAACTGCTCTATTGCTGCTAGAGTTTGTTTTTTTTGAGGAGCAACAGGATCTTTCAGCTGCTTAGGATTATGTAGGGATAGATTCACTGATGGACGAAGTGAGGGGGTGCATCACCAGCTGGTGGGGGAACACCTCAGAAAAACTTTAGGGACCCTCTAAGAGCAGGAATTGCTCACTCTGGGCTGGAGCAGCTCCTCCTGTGTTTACGGGAACCCAGCGCTACACTGGGCCATTGACTGCCCTTGTGATGGTCAGGATGTCATTCCACCCCTCAGTGCAGCATGCAAAGCAAGCAAGGTGCTTTTCCATGACCATTCCTGGGAGATACACTGCAGGTTCATTCCATGACCATTCCTGGGAGATACACTGCAGGTTCATTCCATGACTAAGATGAACAGCCTCAGCTGGGAATCCTTGCGGGCTGTGAGCTGTGCTGGATGTTACAGCCCTTGTTACTTGTCTGTCTCACATGGCAGGGCAGGGAGAGGCACTTTGGGCACCTCCTGTTTCCAGTTTTAGTACAGTTCAGTCTTTCTGGTCAGTCCTGGGTATGTTTGCTCTGGCTGCAATGGATGCAGGCTGGCTCAGGGAGACCCATCTGCGAGGAAGAGCAAAGGGAAGCGCAGGGAAGCAAGTGTCTGTAGTAGGGTCGGTAGGGCTGAGCTGGGTTCTGCTGCTCAAAACCAGTCCCCTCTGTTTTCCCATTGTGTTTACAGCTCTCCCAGGGCATCCTTGTCAGGGTCAAGCTCTTCCAGGCATCCTTGGCACTGAGCTTTTGCTGTCTCATGGAGACAGTTTCCCCAGCAGTGCGTGCCTGACGGCAGCCCGGGGACAGGCAGCTGCTGCCAAAGGCTCTGGAGCAGCCGGCCCCTCCTGTGCCCCAGCTTGCCCAGGGGTGCAGAGCAAAGGCTCCCCAAGAGTCCCTCTGCCTTCCTCCTTGCCTGGCAGCAGCAATCACCCTCTGGCCTTGCCTCGGCTTTTGATTGCCAGGCCAACTGGGATGTTGGACATGTTATAAAATTCCCCACTTTCAGAACATCCATATTTTAGACTTGGAGAAACAAATCCAGGACAAAATAATTCAAGTATTCCTTTCACAGTTCCCATGTTCTGCTGGGTTGAAAGGGAAGCTCTTAGGAAATGGAACAAGTTCATGTCTATGCCTCTTCACTGCAAATATGCATTCCTGGAAATGCAGAGCAGTCTTTATTCCCAACACCTGCATGGCAGGACTGGGAAGGAATGGGCAGCTACCAGTTGGCTTTTGAGTCACTTCTCCATGTGAGCAGCAGTGGTGGAAGCAGCAAAAATACCTTCTCTGTATCCCTAGTTCAGGAATGCCACCCTGGGGAATTTCCTTTTATCTTGAATAACCTACTTCAGCCAATTCCCAGAAAAGTCACAGGTTGTCTGCAATGCCAACCAAACCAGCATGGAAGGAATTGCTTTGGTTGGGAGCCATCCTGTGAGGCAGGGCCAGCTCAGGATGCTCCATATCTGAGTCGCTGGAGCATTGCCCCATCCACTACAAATGAACTGGAGCAATCACTAACCCCAAAACTCTGTGACCAGAGTTTTTGTCTGACGTTTCAGTTTGCTTTTTGCTTTAAGCATTAAAATGAGCAGTGGAGACATGAGAGGCAGTGGGATCAATGCTGAGGGTCATTCCTGCGTGCTAGTGGGAGATTAAACTAAAGAGGAAGTATTTTCTTCCAAAATAAGGGCCTTTCATGGCTTGGCAAGGTGTAGAGCAGCTGTTTCCTGCTTCTCAAGCACCAACCATTGGCCAGTGGGTATCAGCTTGGAGAAGCATCTGGCCCAGATAAGTTTCCTGATGTTACTCAGACAAATGGAGCCATTTCATCAGTGTGCTCAATTCCCCCCAAAGCAGAAAGCAAATTTCTAGGAATGTACTACTCATAACTATGGGCTAGCCCACAAAGGAGATAGAGATGTGTGTAAATACGCTTTTCAGAGGAGTAAGCGAGAGCAGATAATTTCCAGTGTGCTCTAATGGCTGAGCTGCTGCAGTGGAAGGCCCAGGGAGAGCTGGGGTGGTGCTGCAGGGCCCAGGGATGGATATCTCTAACCTTTCCAAACCAGTGAGGGAAAGAGGAGAGGGAAGGGCCGGGGGAAGGCTGGGGGAGACACTGTCCATGTACATGGAGCAGGGTCTGGGCTCATCCCTCCCCAGCCAGCAGAGCGAATGTGGGGTGGGACGGGAATCCTGCCCTGAACATGAAGCGTGAAATCCATGTCCAACAAAAATTTCAGCGAGTGCATAATGTAAGCACTGGATGGGTTTGTAGCCAGGGCTGTGGCGCTGAGAGCGTTGAATTAAACATGGGGTGACTCAGCGCTCGTCTGCGCCAGCCTGGGAGCGGGGAGTGCGGGGACAGGTGCATTATTGATAGTTTCATTTTCCCCAGGTTTGAGCGCCTGCGAGAAAAAGCAGCGTCTGCAGCGCTTAGAGGGGGACACGGTGTGGCCAGACTCGGCATTTGCAATGCCTGTGTGCTCTTCTGCTGCTCCTGGTACAGGGATTTCTGTATCCAGCATCTCCCTCCTGCCCTTCTCCACCTGCAGCCCCGTCACCCTGGGCGGGAGCGCCAAGGCAGGGCAGCACCTGCCCCATCCTCCACTGCCAGAGCTCCAGGGAGCTTTGGGGGCTGCACAGCCGGCTCTCCCACATCAGAGAGCGGCCCTTGGGGCTGGGAAGGGGTGAGAACCCCTGGATTTGCCTTTGGCCTTGCTGATGATCCGAAGCCCTCATCTGCCTCAGCCTCTGGTGACTGAGCCGGGGACAGGACCGGGAGCACAGGGTGTTCCAGCAGCCTTGGAACTGCAGGAAGCAGGACCAAGCTGGAACTGAGTGTGACAACTCATTACCTCACAGGAGGATGTTCTGCTTCTATCCCCTATTCTACTTCTATCCCTTTCTGCTAAAAAACCCCATCCTGTGTCTCCAGGCCCCAGGCCTCAGCCTGGTGAGAACCGTGGGCAGCTGTGAGTGCTGCAGGGCTCAGAGCATCCTGCTCCAGCTCAGGTGTTTGGGATGTGAAGGGAAAGCCTCATGGAAGGGGTTGGAAAACGTGAGCTAGCACTCCTGTCAGGCCTTGCAGGGAGAGGCATGGTTTGCCTCTTCCTCAGAACCTAATTTGAACCACAAGGAGGCAGTGAAAAAAAAAAAAAAAACCTGCTTTGGAAGATTTTAAAGAACAGCACGAACTAAAAATGCAGCTGCCAAACCAAATTTCCATTATTAAAAATCAGCACTGATAAGAGCCATCTTAGATCAAATAATTTATTTAGTAATTCCATGTAAACACTTCAGATTTACTAGCAAATACAATGCTTGCTGTTCTTTTAAATAGATCATTCAAAAAATAAGAATCTATTATTAATGGCAGGTTGACTAGAGATCTCCATACTACTGTACAATAAGGAATTGTTTTTCTAATGGATTTAACATCTCGATTTTTCTTGTTCTGCATTTGCTTTACACAAAGCCCAAAGGACACAGGTTTGAACTGCTCCCTGACGATGCCACTGTGGCCCAGGGTGTTTTGGGGAAGGTACGCAGGCAACTCCTCCCATCCTGGCATTGGTGTGAGCTGATGTGAGGGTGGGATGGCAGAGCTGGCGTGAACACTGTTCACAAACACACGCCTTTTCGGTCAGAAAACAGACAGTGAACGGTGGAGAACTTCTCTTTGGGATGTATAAAAGCAACGAACTCCATCGTTGGCATTTACTTATCAACACAGCAGTACACATACACGTATCCACAGTCTGGAAAAGCATCCTATGAGCTGGAGAAAGCAGTGGTTCTGAGGCTTGGTACACCAGTGCACTAAAACCAAAAGAATGATACCTTCTTACATAGTCAAATGAAAAATAAATATCTTTATTTTCTGCCTACTTTATTTCAGTTTTCAAATAAATTTTAAATAAATCTGTACAAAGTATACTGTTACAGTATATATTTGTAAGTGAACTGAAATGCCTAAGTGTAACAACACTACAGGAAAGCAGTAAAGATTGGCACATCTCTAATCAAGATTAACTTTTACACTCAAAAAATACCAACGCCTGTGAAAACCCTCAAGATATTTTTGGTATTTTTATGCAAGTTGCGTTGCAAACACATGACAGACCAATTCTCCCCTGCCTTGAAAAGAAAATCACTTCTCACGGTTTTCAGAGAACATGAACATCTTTATGATGCTAAAGGGACACCATCAGGTGAAAAGAGAGAGAGAGATTTCAATTCTTAAAAACCAAACGCTTTGGTCAAAAACGGTCAAAAGTTTGAGACTTTGTGCACTTTTGCCCATCTCCCCGAGCTGCGGCTGCAGGGACTGCGGGAGCCCTCGGAGCGGCCGGAGTTCCGCCGCTGCCCGGGGTGAAGCTGCTGTGGCCAGGGACCCAAAGCCTCGGGAGAGGAGCTGTTCCCCTTGCCATCCAAAAGGAATTAACACGCCGCATTCTGCGCTTTCTTTTTCCCCCCCAAAAAAGCAAGAAACTAAAATTGATCTGACAGTGTCCCTTTGCTCAAAATAAAGACTTCTGTGCTAGAGAGGTCAGGTACTGAAATGAACTTTTTCACAGGGTCAAAGAGCCAAGTACATCTCAAAATTCAAGTTTTCAAATCCAACTGCAGTTATTAGATTCATGAGCTCTCAAAACCTCCTAACATTCCGTTAAATAATTCCCAACTGGGAATTGGGGATAAATACTACAGATTAAGAGCGAGATTTTTCTCTCTTAATCTTTCCAAAGATATATTCACTCAAAGTTTACATGCTGAAAGTTAATCTTACATTAGAATGTAATTGGCTGCAACATAAACCTATAAATAAATCAACTACCATAGATTAAACTCTGTTAAATATTTCTAAGTTAATAAAATATTGACAGTATTATAAAATTACAGTATTTACAATAAGAAAAATCTAGACTAATATATACCTTATAACAGATCTCTTCTCCAATTTGGGATTGCAACGGAATTATGAATATATGAACAATTTATTAGAAAGTTGCATTGCAATTATCAGGTTTTCCATTAGAGCTAGAGAGGGTGAGCTATCACTGCCTTTGGAAAAAAACAAAAAGTGACTTCTGATGGTGGGGTGTAGCTTTTGAGTACCAAACTGGTAACAGGAGTCCTCCGCAAGACGTCTGAAGATAAGGTAGGACCAGCCTCAACTGCTCAGATTAAGGTTGTATTACAGAACTGCCAGCAATCAGAACCACCCAGGCTGCAAAAGGGGAGGAAAGGTAGTTTTCAGCTCAAAGTGCACAGCTGGAAGGGCTCCCCTCATTCTGGACTCCAACTAAGGCTGCAGGAGCTTCGATCTGCTCTCAGGAACAGCAAAACCCTCAGCTCAGGGTTTGTGAGGAGGAAATGAGCCACGGTGCTCCTTAAAGGGACATAGTTGGGCTGCAGCTATGCCAAAAACACCCTTGTCAACCAAGTACGACAAAACCAGACTGGGCATTTCAGATCCTCTTTGACTTGCTTTTTTAGGGGTTTTTTTGCGGGGGGGAGGGTCAGGGATGGGCTTTGGTTTGGGTTTTTTGGTTTTTTTTTTCATTTTGTTTGCTTGGGAGAAAAAAATTGGATGTGACCATGCAGTCAACTGATTTTCTATCCCTCATCAGGTTCTTTGTTTTCTGGGGTATTAACAAAACGTGCAGTGTTTGGGTGGCAAATACTTGTGGGGAAAAAGGAGACTTCAACACTCCCAAGTCAATTTCTCTTGGGATAAACCAAAAGCAATTTGAGTCCTTAAAAATTGCCAGCTGCTTTTGGGGTCTCAGACACCCAGTGATGTCCTTTTAAGGATCAGATCTTTCACTTGCCCTTTTCCCCAGCCTCGGAGGAGGAGTTTACAATGAGTTTAGGAAGGGCCACGTTCACATTCTCTCCCTCCTCCCCATGTCACATTTGCTTTCTAGAAAAAAAGGGGGAGAAAAGTAAGTTTCAAACTCCTTTCCCTCCCTTCCCTCCCCCAGTCCTGCTCCCAGTAAACCAGAAATGGCAGTTTTTCGTGTATATTTTGGGATAAATTATTTTCTCAGCCCCAAGCCTGAAGATGCTAGTGAGAGACCTACCCGCAGGCTTCGGAGAGGAGGAACAATTTAGGGGTTTCTACCAGTTCCCGTGGTGGGCAGGCAGGAACACCTCTGTCCTTAAAAGCAGGATTTAAAATGGTAAAAGAATAATTTGTAAACTCGGATCTACATTACCAACAGAAGGCTCTAGGTCCTGCAGGCTCCAGTTCCCAGAGGTGCAGAGCAGGAAAACTAGAAAGAGAACTCGGTACCTTTCAACCACCTGCTGGGTTGTACTGGGGGGGAGTGGGGAATGAGAGAGACAAAATGCCAACTGACCTTATAAACAAAGGTATGTTTAGGGCTTCTGGTTTCAGGAATAAACCGATATTTACTGGTAAAAGTCTGCCAAAAAACAAAAACAGAAACACAGGATTACTGGTAAATATTGGTTTATATGGAGAATTAAAAAAAAATATTAAAAAAAATAATAAAAAAGAGATGTCATTGTGCTCCTGATCTCCAAGTGCTCCCAGGCAGGAGCTGAGAACCGACCCATGGCATCCCTGCACCTGGCAGTGTCTCTGGCACCTGGACACCTCAAACCAGAAGCCTTGTGTTGAGAGGAAAATCGTGTTTGTTTCCTTTACTCCCCTTAAACTATGTGTTTCTGGATTCCCCCCTCCCTCCTCTGCAAGGCTGGTCCTACGGGGGCTTGGCTCAGGAGATGGGAAGTCTGCTTCCAAAAGCACTTGGAAGTGAATTTGTACATAATATGGTATCTCAGCACAAGGCTGCTGGGGCCTGAGCCTCGGCTGCTCCCTGAGATACCATAAAATATACAAGACTGAGTGTATATTTTAAATAAAGCATTTTCTTTTTAAGTGGCATAAACCCATTCATTTTATTTACATGCTTATTTATTTCCAAAAATAGAGTTGGTCCACATTGGACAAGAGAAATCAAGAAGCCATACAGTAGAAGAGTTAAAAGTCCAACATTTAACCAAAGTACAATGAAATTCCAGAAGTCTGTGGCTGACTTGAACCACAGAAACATACACATGAGCCACACAGACATTTGTACATAGAGCATTATATTACCAATAATATTTGCAAACATGAGGTCAAGATGGCTAAAAACCCAGCAGGACTGACCCGGGGGTCCTGGCTGAACAGAAGTGGGTGCTGAGGGGCCGTCACTGCTGTGGGGAAACACAACTCTCCAGAGATTTTGCTTCACTTTTGGTTTTTTCTTTAACTGAGAAAGTCCTAATTTTTTTGCCCTGGGGATCCAAATTGAGGACACGGTGAAAGCCAACCCCACGGAGCTCCCTAAATGCCGGGGTGCCGGGGGCTCAGGCCTGTGGGACAGCGCGGATGCCGCACGGCACCGGAACCCTGCTGGAGGGCAAAACCCTGCCCTCTGCTATTTGGCCTTAAAGATCACCTGGAAAAGAAAAAGTAGGGATTTATACCCTTGTGGTGTGCTGAAAAAAGTCTGGATGGGGTTTGCCTTGAAAACAAGGATTTCCCTCCCTTGCCATGGGCAATTTTTGGCATTAGTTATTCCAGTCCTGTCTACCTTTCCTGGAAGACCACAAATATCCTAGAGGATGTTGCACCGACAGATGAGGGAATAACTTTTTTACATTAAAAAAAAACAAAAACAAACAAAAACTTGGAGGATGGACAGCAGAAGAAAAAAAAACCAAATGGAAAAGATGCCTTATCTCTGCATGAGGGCCCAGCTTGTCTGGGTATGTCCATGGACCTCCCCATGATAATATCTCAGTGTCTCCAAAGGAGGGAAAAACAGACTTAAATCTGTATGTCCTGCTGCAGAGAATCACAGCAAGTAAAAAGGGGGAAGACAGTTGTAGCACTTCTGGTACTTCCACAAACCACCCACTACACGGGGTAGAACCACACGAAAAGGGTATAAATTAATTTTCCTTTTTCAAGTCATCTTTGACACTCACGCTATTAAGCCTAGTCCAATGTGAATGCTAGTACAGAGCTAATGTACAGAATACCAGCGATAATTATTGGTACCTAACAGGATTTAAAGGTGAGTATACTCAGTACATTTATTAAAAAACACTATTACCAGAACGCCAGAGCTCTGACAGCAGTTACACAAAGCAGCCGTGCAGGTCTCTACGAGGACAGAGCCTTTAGCACAAGTCGCTATGATCATCTGAGCCTGTGACAGACAACTCGATCTTCTAATTTGTTTCCTACAACATTTCTAATCGCAGATGTGAAATACATTTTAAAACAGAGATGGGCCTGATCCTGTGCAGTTGGGTACGTACAACACACCCCAGTGAAACTCAAAGCCCAAATTCCTAAAGAGAGAGCACAAGAAATTGTTGTCTTACATCAAATAACTATCATGCAAGCATACCACAACGGTTTTATATTGAGTAGTTCAAAGTCAGCTGGTATAATTTACCTAGAAGTGAGCAATCTAATGGATTTCTAGGGGTAGGGACAAAGGTTGTGCCAGTGACAACCACCTGATTACCAGGGAGAGCAGCACAGGGACAGCGTGGGGGTCTAACGAGCTGTGGTACAGAGGAGCTCCTGCTCAGCACCTCACAGACCTGCACCTACACCTGGAATGTGCAGGATTCCTGTGGCAGGTTACACACCTTCATTTGTCTGCTACCCCAGTCTGAGCTCTGCTTCCTGAATGAACAATTCACTTACAGCTTGGCATACTGCTGGAGTATTAAAAATAGCTTTTTTCCCCCCCCTAACCTGTTGCCTGTTGCCTCACACATCCCAGGGTTAGCCCCATGCTCACCCTACCAAACCTTATGCTCTTCTCAATTTTCCAGCCACAGCCAGGTTGGGTCACTTCTCCAGTATGACTCAACCACCCTGCTCCTTGTCTTTAAACATAAATTCTGACTGAAAGCAGAGGTGCCTGCAGTAATCCTGCTTCTATTGCAATCTCCAACGACTTATCAAAGCACTCACTCTTTGGTACCATGATCTACTGGAGACAGGGAAAGTGGGGGAAGACAGAGTATTTTGCCATGATTCCTAGACTTTTAAGAAGCCTAAAACAGCCAGAGCAGCAAAAGGTTGCTGTGGCTGACACCTGTTACCTGTGGGTTCTCCTGGGTCTCTTGGGAAGAGAGGTAACACAGGTCTGCATGTGTCCACACCAACAATCCTCCCTCAAAGACAGATCTAGGCAAGAACTGGAAGATGCTGCCCAGACCTCTCTCCCTACTCCTTCATTATACTTCATATCCTTCATTCCTACTGCCCATTATAAAAATCAAGACCTTTGAGTTTTTTCTTAGTAAAAAGAAAAGAAAACAGAACATATCCACAGTATCAGCTGCTGAGGCACACTCTGGGATCTGGCAGACCTGCAAGTCCAGCTCAAGGCAGGAATTTGAACTGGGACTGTTGCTTTACAGGAGAAATCTAGATATTACCCAGTATTCTGGGCTTGTTTCTCCCCTGAGACCAGACTTTGCAACCTGGACCTAGTGGTGATCACCACAAAAGTTTCATGAAAATCAACCCTTCTCCACCCAGCAGCTTTGGGTTTAATGAAACCATTGAATGGAACTCATTTGCTCGAAGGCTGAAGATGCAGATTTGGAAGCCTTTAAACACCAGTCTCTAACTAGACTTTAGTCTACTTTTTGCTCCCCAAGTGACAAATATCAACTGCAACCAAAGAAGGACTCTGTGGTATTTCTCTTCTCATTAAGACTGTTTTTTATCCTGCTGTTTATCAATGTGTTCAGACATTCTTGTAGGTGCCCCAGCAAACCAGACTGATCATAGAATCAAAGAATGGATTGGGCTGGAAGGGATCACCTGGTCCAACCCCCTTTCTCTGTAGAAAGTATGCTGCTTTCCACCTCTAATACACTGAAGAGCTAAAGCACTTCAGCTCCTCCTCCTCAAACTGGAGTTCAGGGTTGCTGATCTGCAATTCCCAGTGCCCCGATTAATACTTTAATTAAAAAAAAAGTAACCTGACATTAGGACATTATCTAGTCATGGAGAATACTAAGCTGTTTTTTGACAGCCCTGTTTTTGTTAGTACCTGTTTCAGTCCCAAGCTTTTTTAAAATCCCTTGATAAACCTGTTGCTCCTCCACTTGAATTTCCTACATTGCTCCAGCATCTCTGCCTCACTTGAGTTTCAGAGGAAGGTTCCTTATCTCACCCAAAAGGCTGAGGTGATGGACAGCAGGCTCTCAAACACTCCCTGTGCTCCAGAATGACAAGGAGGAGTTGCTTCAGTGGCATGAAGCAGTGCAGGAAATGCATTCTGTCTTCAGTCCTGCACAACCAGATTTTCTCCCCAGCCTTGTCTGGGATGTCCTTCAGACAGCATTGGCTCCCCAAAGCCCCCAGCTCAGCAAAGCCCCTCCTAAACTGCTGCATTTCCATGGTTACCTGCCCCACCACATGGTTCTTCCAGTCTGCTCCTCTAGAGCTGGACCTCTGTTCTTTGGTGGAATCTTCCTGAACTCCAGAAGTCCCTTCCTTTATAACTGTTTTTAACAACAGTTTTAGGGTCATTTGCTCTTTCACGACAGAGTTCTGCCTCACCTGGACGTCAGTAACCTTCCCAGGTATCCATGGTAAGTCTAAGGATTTCATTTTCATGATATTCTCCCTTAAAATATTTTGGAACACAAGACTCACTTTTAGTCCACCTTCTACCCCTGAGAATGCTGAACCTGCAATTCAGTGACCCTCAGGTGGTCACTGCTACTTAACGACTCAACAATAATTGTATCTTGAATCAGTTCTCGTGTTTTAGTCCTAAACAAAGGCTAACTCCAGACCAGGCTGTTACAAGAAATGGTCCTTTAAGTAAATCAAGATGTTTGCTCACCAAAGTGTTAGGCAGCTCCCTCCCAAACAATCTGGCCAGATAGCATGGTAATGATGGAACTTACTTTTTCTAACAGGTTTATGAAGATGCATGAGTCTGGTTTTTCCCCAAGGCCCATGAAATCCTCTACTTTCCTTTTGTCTGGAATAGAAAACTTCCTAATACCTCCATGTTATTAAAATACAGAATTTATATCCAACATAAATGTGGCTGTTTGGTCGTCAGCACTCCAATTTCCTCAGATTTTACAGCAACCTTTCAGATGTAGTGTTCCTCCTTTATGACCTAACATACCTGCTACAATGGCAGGTAATGCAGTATCTTATTGATTTCCATCACCCCCACCATGTTTCAATCAGACCAGCTGAGGTCTTTTCTCATCATGAACAGTCTACAACAACTATTTTTGTCTCCTGTTTCCACCCTGTTGTGCCCATTCCTTACTCCAGCCCAGTCCCTCCCGTGCATACAACTCCACTCCCCAGCCCCAACAGCCTCATCCTCCCAGCAGCTGTGCTCAGTCTGTCCTCCCCAAACCCTGCCCACCTCCCGTGCCACCAGTCTGGGGACACCTGGGCTGAAGTGGGAATGCTGTGAAGTCAGGGCTCCTCATGTCACTTGCCTGTCACAGCCTTTTCTCAGGCACACACACTGACTGTAGGAAGACCTACTGACATGTCCTAAGTTCTATCTCCTTCCTGGACACCCAATTTAGCTTCCCAGGTATCTCAGCTTCAATAATAACAGCCTCAGGCTTGGCCCAAGCACTTTGATACCTTTCAAGGTCTATGTGTCCAATCAACAGGGGAATAGTTTGATGGATCTCCTAATCATTGGGAGTTTGTACTTGCATCACCAAATCCTCTGCCATTCAAACCTCCCACAGCTGCTTCTCCAGCTCCTGGAGGCATCTCCAGAACACAAATCAACTCCTCAACCAAGGCTTTGGTTATAAATCACTCCTCCGATCCTGTCCAGGTTCAAGTCTCCGCAATTACAAAGCAAGGCAGCCAGTGCTGTGGTGGGAAGGAAGCCTGACCATCTGCAGAGGATTTGATGCCATTTCTCCTCCAGCACCTCAGCAGTTCTGGCCTCAGGATGCTTTCTGAAGCCTGGAATGCCCCCACTTGTTGCTCCATGTAGTATTTCATCAGCAGATAATCACTTGTAAAGCGTGTCCTCTCTGCACTCTTGTGTGCACTTCTTTGTGCAATTAAGCCAATGTACTTTGATTCTCATAATTAAGCTAGAATTTTACTTTATGACCATATAAAGTCCATCTCTAAACTAAAAATAGACTGACTGTTAACAGATTTCTTTTTTTAAAAATGTCTTTAAACTGCCAATTAGAGACCTGCATTGGACAAGATAAGTTACATATGGCCTTGCAGAAGCCTGCAAGGACTCATTTTCCAGGACTTTTATTGACAGGTGAAGCTCAGAGGCCAACTTTTTTCTTTTTTTAAGATAGAATGAGCCTCTGATCACAGCAGATCTGTCCACAAACCAAACTGTTCTCATGCATGAAAGCAGAGATGGCTTTTACATGAATTTGCAGTGCTCAGTTCAGAGTTATTAATGACAGAAAATAATTCAAAGCCTTTAGTCCCTACTTTGCTCAGACCTGCCTGGTTGCCCTTCAGCAGCCCCTGGCAACGGTGAACATACTGTCATTTATTATTTAAATAAAACAATCTTTTTAATAAAATGAAATTCTGACCCCATTTAAACTCTGTACCTGACAAGACACCGGCTTCTTTCCTTCACCTCTGGTGCTGATCACACAACATTTTTTTTTAAGCTGACCTGCCCACACAGCTCCTGATAAGCCAATGCTACATTGCCAGCTCTCCTCAGCATCACTCGAGTGGGAGGTTTAAATACCAGATTTCACAAAACCCTTTCTCCATGATTCCTAGCCCTGGCATTTCTTGAAGTATTGACAGATCAGCAAGCCTTCCCAGCTCACCCCAAAGTGAGCCAGCTGGAGCTGCTTCTGCTGGACTGATGCAGAGAGAAGAGCTGGTCCCTGAAATCCCAGCGCTCACCTCTCGACCCCCAGGTGAGTTCTGAGGAACCTGGACTGGCTGACCCCGATGTGCTGATGCAGACTCAGTCCCCAGGAGCTGCTGGTCTGAGCTCCCCTGCCCATATGAGATGCCTGGGCAAAAGGTGAGCCCAGGCAGGTTCCAAACCTCAGGAGACTGTGGGTGGTAAAGCCAGCAGCCTACACTGTGCTCACTATTGTGTAACCAGGACGGAGCACGGAGAAATAAAACACATTCATTCCCTAGGAGACACCAGAGCAAGCGCAGGCTGGGGGACAGACACCCAAACCGAGGTGGCTGCCTTTCAAATGACAGTCCCAGACATCCCAACAGACAGGCCCTGCTCTCTGACAGCCTCCTTTCTACCCAGAGTGAGAACAAAACCCTCCAAACCCTTCTAATGGCCCAGCCTCGATGGGCACACATCAACACATTCAACAGTAACAGAAAAAACGACCACTGCTCATTTACTGACTCAACTTCCAGCAACAGAAATATCCAGGCCTGTATGCTGTGGACACAGCCTCCTCCAGCCTCATCCCAACACCGCTCACATCAGCACGAACCACGCTGGGGGGGTCAGCCCCTCAACAGAGCCCCCAGAGCCACCCCAAAACAGCCTGTGCCAATGCTGGCCCTTACATCAATCCAGAGCACGGTGGTGATGATGTCTGAGAGCCCAGGCTCAGCTCCCAGACCTTCCTGCAAGCATGACAGTGACACCTCCCAGCCCAGAGCGCTGACATGTGTCAGTAAGACACGATCTCCTGCAGCAAGGCTGCACCCACGGGGCTGCTGCACGGTGTCTGCACCATGTTCAGTAACACAGCCAAACCCACTGGGGTCAGCACGCTCATGGGGCTTCAGATGCAGCTTGCAAGACACTCTCACAAGCAATTCTCCATTGAAATCAACATCACGACTGAGATGACATTTCAGCACAAGGAGGTTTTTCCCAAAAAGCTGTCCAAATCTCTTCAAGTCATGCACTTGCCGTCCCAGCTGCACACACTGGATCAGCTCCCACAACAGCCACCTCCCTCCAAGGTCTCCCCAGCCCAGAGGGGCACATCCTTCCCTGCTGCAGATGGAAATCCACACCTCTCACCTCTCCTGTCCCGAACAGCAAGAATGAAGCTGGTTTTTCTTGCTTCCTGCATATTTCAAGATAGTGTTTCAAGAAAAAAAATGCTTCAATGCCACAGCCAGGGAGACTCAGCAGAAACTCCCACTGCCAGTGCTGCAGCCAATCCTCTTTGCACTTCAGTCTGCTACGTGGCCCAAGACTCAGAAAGGGCTAAGGTTTGTATTTTTGCAAAGCTAATGTGAGGATGGACAACAAACCAACTGATCTCCAACAAAACCAAGGAATTGTTTGACTTAAGACTGAGTTCTCACTGGGGAGATCCAGCAGATTCCTGTTCAAACCAAACATCCTCCCAGCTAATGGCTGATCCAGGAAGGAGCAGAGGTTCACCACATGTCATGAACTCAGGCCTCAAGAGGAGGTGTGGAAATGGCCAGGGTCCCCAGGTTCAACAGCAAAGTAGTCCCTGCTCAGGACCTGACAGCTCTGTTTTGGATATTTCACTCTCCTGTGAGCTCTAGCTTGGCCTGATAAACCCAATGCCCACTGGCTGGTAAAACCCGTCTTAGTTAAACCCAAACTGCATCAGGTCTTGTGCTCTTAGACTGCTCCAAGGTGCATTACACAGGGATAGCAGAACTTCCCTACCAAACCACACACCCAACTCGAGCTGCAGAGATACTGCCACAGCCCAGGTGATGTCTGGTCGCCCAAAACAAGACAACATCCACATACAGGCAAAATCTACAGCCAGTCTGAGCAGGCTCCATCTTGGCTGGCCAAGGTGCCTTCCAGAGCAAAAAGCTCAGGACCAGATCCCCTCTCCGGGTGAAGGAGCGCCAGCAGTATCGATCTGCAGAGGGACAGTGAAGCATTGTTTGGGGATATCCAGCCATTCACTCTGTCTTGTTTTAATCAGTCAACATTCAAAAGACAGATAGTAGGGCCAAAAGTCCTCTATCTTTATCTTTTTTCACTTAATCTCCAGCTGACATTTTTCTGTGAAAACACGCCTCGCTTCTTGCTGTATGACTTCAACTCTCCCTCTCCTGTGATATTTTGCCTCCAACAGGCTACACAACCGGTTAGTACTTTTACAGAGGTGGGAGTGACATGCTTTGACTCTTCCAAAACACAAAATGCTCCTCTGGCTTCAGGCACCAAACAGTGGGGACCAGCAGAGCTACCCCAGCTGGGGAGCTCAGCACCCACTGCTCCATCATCCCTTGGGAGCAGCTGCCTGACATCCTCAGCTGCCAGTGGCAAAAAATCTTCAGGCTCTCATGGGCTTCTCCAAGTGCCATTCCTGTGCTGATGCTGAAGCACTTGCATGGCAGCCCAGGTGTACCTTGGCCATCCATCTCTGCCACATCCCATCTCCCACCTTGCTCCGAAAGCCTTTTCCCACTCTCCAGACACACCAACACCTTTGCTGTGACTGCTGGGAGCTCCTCCCCTGGACAAACTCTTTTCACCCAGTCTGAGTCTGCCGGCTCAGGAAATGCCTTTGTTAGTGACAGCACCACGCCTGCCCAAACACCAACCAGCTCATCCTTTCCCTTCCAACGTCCTCCTCCAGCAGCAACTTCTATGCCAACCAAATTGCAGTAAAATATCCAGAATGCCACTGTGAAAACCCTGCAAATGGATAATTTGGCCTTTACTTCTCTCTGCTATCTGCAGCTGTTCTGCACTAACAACAAGCAACACACACAACCCAGTAAAGCCTCGTGGCCCACTTGTCATTCACAAGAAGAGGGATGGCTGCAGATCCTGTTGTGAGCTGCCTTTCTCCCAGACTGCAGTGCTGCTAACACACAGTCCCATCAGGAACTGAAATGCTTTGGAAAGATAACAAGCAAAGAAGGATAGGCAGGCTAAGAGAAAAGTCCCGGAGTGGACCCAGGACCATCTGGCACAAACAGGAGAGGGAAGGCAGCCTCTGCTGGGAGCAGAGCAGAGCAAGCAGCCCGGCTCCAGCTGCAGAGCTTCCGGAGAGCTGCCACACAACAGGAGCATCCTCCCTGCGCCATCACCCTCAGCCATCCCAACACAACACACACCACTTCAGAAAAGGAAAAAAAAAAAAGCCATGAACTTCAGGCCCAAAGATTAGGCTCTGGGAATACAAGCTTTTAAAAAAGGTTATAGTTTTGGAAGTCCATTTAAATTAATCTTAACTAGCTTTAAACTCTATTTACGTATCTCCTTGCCACGCTCACAACCCACGCACATTTTGCGGTGCCAGCGAGCTAAATCATGTGCAAGTGAGCAGAGTAAAATGAACCACAAAAAAAAAAAGCTCTGGGCAGAAACTCTCTTTCATTGTTGTAAGCGGCAAAGGAGATGGCAACAGCAGAAGGAATCAGGAATAAAAATGGAACTTGCTTGTTTACCTTGTCGGTTTTGTCAAAACATTGTGACAACGCTTTGCGTGCAGCCCGTTTCTCTGTTCTGCCACCAAAAATTCAGAGCCCTTCACCTTTCTTCACGCATTACAGGAGAAAGCCAAAAAGAGTAAAACTTTTAGGGAGAGAAATGAGTGTGCAATAGATATAAAAAAGCCCAGCATGAGAATTTCAAACTACTGGGCTCCTCTTTCAGACAGTCCAAACACCACCAGGAATAGTGACCCTCCAGCTGCACAAGCTGAGTTAACAAGGAGCAGGCAGCCAACGAAGGAGGAGAGTAAGACAATAAAGGGAAAGTTTGGGTAAGCCTGACAAAAAGCAAAGGCAAAAAAAAAAGAAAAAAGAAAAAAGAAAAAAAAAAAGTAAAAAAAAAACCCAGAGAAAAAAAAAAAGCTGCAAACTGGGTTTCTAAAAAAGAAGAATTCTTGACAGTGTCTTTTTAAAAGAGAAACTCAAAGTGCTTCAGGCAGAGCCCTACCTCTCCAAAAGCCACCCAATCCAGTAGGAAGCAGCAGGTTTTTGAAGGAGCAAATTGCACAGCTGTGGAAGAATTTGCCTTTACTGCCTTCTTTCCAACTCACCTAAGAGAGACTCACTGTCTACCTGGAGGACTAGCAAAACCGAGGAGATTGGTTGGTTCTAGTCATACTTTTGAGTTTTGATGCTTGACGAGAGCCCCTAAAATGTAAACCTGTTTTAGCATTCTTGTACATTAATGTCATCGTTCTCCCTGCTGACTCCCACAACTTCTGCCACAGACAAGTCAATCAGATTTGGTATATGCCCTGGGACAGGGAAGGGGAGGGCTGGGTTTAAAGCAAACAAGCAACCAAAAAATAATTATGTCAGTGCTCTGCAAGGTGTTGGATCCAAGCTCGGTGGATCTGCTGAAGTCTTCGATCCAAAACACTTGGCAATTTTACTTAAAAAAAAATGAAACAAAAAAAAACCCCACCTTTGACCTGTTGAACTTAGAGAAAAGCAAGTGGCAGACCTTGGAGGAAGGGAGACAGCGTGTGAGGGTGCAAAAACATCATGTGCTGTAGTTCACCACTTAAGAAGAAATCAGTTTTGCTTTGGTTGGTTTTGCTTTTTCTGAAGTGCCAAGGAAAGGCACTTCCCAAAGGGAGATTTTAGAGTTTAAGGGCGCCAAGGTGGGAGCGTGAAGACATGACAAAAACGTCAGGTTTGCATAAACCCTTCTGGAAAAAGTGCACCGTGTTTTTAGGAAAAATGCATATCTACCAAATCTCCACTGACCAGGGGCCACTTGTGCACACAAAGTTGCATCAATTGGCAGCATCAATGCTGACATTTTTGCCTTCTCCTTCCACCCCCCTCCCCAATTTCTTTTTTTCCTTGGGAGACATACAGCGCCACTGCATTAGAACGTACAAGAAATGAAAACAGTGAGTACGACTGATATAGATCCATTGACTTTTTATTACAAATGTACTTGATCACTTGGCTTCAAAAAAGTTTAAATCAACCCCTAT